CTTTGATCCCTCCCCCCTTACTTCCGAGTATAAAACGACCCTAAATTTTTCCTTTAATTATTTTAGAGAAAAGTGTTGTTTAATACACAGAAAAATACGGTACATCTCATCATCCCTCGCCATTGATGTTGGTGTGAGTGATGGCAATGGGAGTCCAATCTGCTCTAGACACATAAAGTGTAGAAGAATGGTCTATTCTTTTCATACAAGGACCTTCCAGGCTGAGATTACATAGCTGTGCAAAGTGAGCCCTTGCCTCCACCCCTAGGAGGTGGGCAGATGGAAAGACTATTGCCATGCCTTCTGAAAGGAAACTTATTTCCTCTTCCTGATCTCTTATGGTGCCCTTCATAGTGGTACGCAGGTCACATGTTGCTGGACTGTTTTGCCCATATTGCAGCAAAGTCCCCAAATTTAGCAGTTTCCCTTCAATCTCTCATTGATTAGTGGCCACCATTTAATCATTCTTAAAATATCTTTAGATTGGGGTCATTGTGGTGAAAGAAAATGGTGGCCTCTCTTACCTTCAGAGCTTTAAGGGACCTCCGCAGAACTTTGCCCTCACTCAGTCACTTTCTCCTTACTCTCAAAATTGACACAATGCCACCACTATGAGTAGAACATTGGTGTGGGATTTTAGATCAGTTGTGGAACTACCTTTATCCCTAATGGTGTGCTGAGAAGTATGTGTGAGGGCTGGAAACGTGAATAGGATGAAGCCTCATGTGTTGGAGTCACCACCAATATCTTGTGCTTTCATTTTACAATGTTGTTGTGTTGGGACTATGAGGCCTGTTCTGCTCACATTCAGTTGGATGCAGATAGAACTTTCCCTTATTGTGTGGAAGACTTTGCTTGTATTCGGTTGATTTTGAACAGGACATTCATTCAGACCTCATTGTTTGGGAAAAGAAGACTGAGGGGAGATATGATAGCACTTTTCAAATACTTGAAGGGTAGTCATTTATTTTAGAGGAGGGACAGGATCTGTTCTCGATCATACCAGAGTGGCAGATACATAATAACAGGCTCAAGCTACAGGAAACCAGATTTAGGCAGAATATTGGGAAAAAACTTTCTTAACTGTTCGAATAGTATGACAATGGAACCAGTTATCTTGGGAGGTAGTGAGCACTTCAGCGCTGGATGTATTCAAGAGAAAATTGGAGAACTGGCTGTCAAATCTTGTTTGAATTGGATTCCAGCATTGAGAAGACAGTTGGACTTGATGGTCTTATAAGCCCCTTCAAAATCAAATATTCTGTGTTTCTGGACATATGGACATAGGCATCCTTCAGTCTCGAGAGACTATGGTAACATGCTCTGAATTGAGGAGTGTCCTCTCCAGAGCATGAAGCCCGGGTAAGGTAATATGGAGAATAGGCTGTTACCCAAGCAGCAGATACCCCCTCTCCACATTGCTGAAATGGTCCAATGGAAAGGCAAGAGCCAATACAACTGGTTCCAGCAATGTCACAGGAGTTGGCAGAACGACACATGCTGCCTTCGGGACTCCAGCTCCGGATTTTGCCTCGAGGTTAACTCCTGAAGCCTTTGGGCTGGAAACGTGAATAGGATGAAGCCTCATGTGTTGGAGTCACCACCAATATCTTGTGCTTTCATTTTACAATGTTGTTGTGTTGGGACTATGAGGCCTGTTCTGCTCACATTCAGTTGGATGCAGATAGAACTTTCCCTTATTGTGTGGAAGACTTTGCTTGTATTCGGTTGATTTTGAACAGGACATTCATTCAGACCTCATTGTTTGGGAAAAGAAGACTGAGGGGAGATATGATAGCACTTTTCAAATACTTGAAGGGTAGTCATTTATTTTAGAGGAGGGACAGGATCTGTTCTTGATCATCCCAGAGTGCCGGATACATAATAACAGGCTCAAGCTACAGGAAACCAGATTTAGGCAGAATTTCCGGAAAAAACTTTCTTAACTGTTCGAACAGTATGACAGTGGAACCAGTTATCTTGGGAGGTCGTGAGCACTTCAGCGCTGGACGTATTCAAGAGAAAATTGGACAACTGTCTGTCAAATCTTGTTTGAATTGGATTCCAGCATTGAGAAGGCAGTTGGACTTGATGGTCTTATAAGCCCCTTCCGAATCAAATATTCTGTGTTTCTATGATTCTATCAATAAAGAGAGAGCTAAAATGGAGTTGTTGTTTTGTAATTACGATGTTCCCTCTTGGTAGAAATGCTCGGAAGACATTTACCATTCAGTTCCAAACTAGATATAGCACATGCATTCATGTTAGTGTTTCCCTGACTTTAATGAAATGTGGCCTGGAGACACCGTAGCTGGGAGCAGAAGCCTGGTAAGAGAGGGAGATGTTGACATTTACTTTGGGCCTTAGTGGCTGTCATCTCATTCTGCTTGTGTTATATTTTTCTTTTCACAGCTCTTTGTATTTAGTTGTGCTGGTGTTTAAGAAATGACTGCTGATTTAACAGAGGACTAAAATATCAGGAAGGAGCCTTGAAATATTGATATGTTTGTGGAACAAAAACAGCTTGCTACTTCTGGGCAGGTTTCTTCCTGTTACCCTGGGGGGAGCATAGCAGAAGTGTGAAGAGAGGAAAAAAGTGTGCAATTGGGAAAACATACATTAGATTAAGCAATAATTTCAGTAGTTGCTTCCATTCAGACGTCGCGCTGAGAGCTAAACTGACTGAAAAACTGCTGATAACATTTTTATTATTATTTGTTGTTTATTCTGCAGCCTCAGACCATAAGGCAGACTCTCCAGAGGACACTGCAACATTATGAGCATCAAGTTACTGGGTAAGTAGAGCAGTTTTCTCCAAGATGGCAAGCAACGGATAGATAGGCAGGACAGTAGGTAATAAATAATAGGAACTTATCAGTGGCTGCTAAAATAAATCGTAGCAGGTATTTGCACCACATAAGCCAAAATGGCCAACACCACAACAGTATGTGGAGTATCTTAACTTTTGAAGATTTTATGGATAATTTCTTTTGTAACAGTCATTTGTATTTTTATTTAGCTTTGTGTGTTTTAATTCCTGATCCCCTCCTCTTTTCTTTCCTAATGTTTAACCCAATTGTCGAAAGTTTTCTTTTATGTAATTTCCGCTTTGTGTGTTTTAATCTCTCATAAATCTATCAGGAATGAAAGGCAAAGTAAAGAACTGACTCTTGCATCTAAGGCTTGAAAGTTTTGACTAAAGCAGTTTTTTGTAGTTGAAATGTCAGAGGAAGCTAATTCGAATACAAGGAAAAAGCAAGGTAGTTTGCAAATTATATGAGGTGAGAAAAGGTATTGTTGTGGACTCAGATGCTTTTGATAGTTAAGAAATTCTCGTTTCCAATCAGGAGCTGTCCATAGTGTCTGCTTCTATCAACATTTCAGATTTTTTTTTGTTAATGATAAGTCTGATCCCTTATGATTAGTCTGTAGTTGGAGCTTTTATACCTTGTATGATGTTCTGTATATATTCCAGCATTTATTATTTTTAAGTAGTCTACAGTAACTACGTTCAGTGCAAAGTCTTTTTCTTTCTTTTTTTGGAAGGAGGATTTTATGACTTAGGATCTCTATTCAGGTTCCCCAGTAGCTGACTTGCAAGAGTTTTTGTGAGTTTTCTACATTTTGGCACATCTTTGCAATAAATAAAAAAAATATTGCAACTTCAGAAGTGTTAATTGTAAAAAAAAACCCCACATCACTGTGTATTTTGATGGAATCATTTACATTTTGAGAAGAAAACCTTGCATTTTGTGCAAAGCATAATTTTTTAGTGTAAAATAGGTGTTTTTTTTTTCCAAAACTCACAGCTTTCATGTGAAGGTTGCCTATGATGAAAACCCTCTTTTTGTGGTCATTGGAGTGACAAATCTTGCACCAGTTACTTTTTTTGAGGGGTGATATTCAGACACCTTTTCCTTTGAGGATCAAGAAATTTGTGAGTAATTGTTACATTCTTAGGAAAATCAAACTTCTCCCTCTTGCTGGAGCATCATATCAGGACCAAAGAAATTTACTGATTGTTGTGGACCTGTAAGAGTGGGGAAAGAACCTGGAAAGCTACCTTTTTAGAACTGCAGCCTTGGGTGGGTTACGACAGGGGTAGGAGTCTGTCCCCAATCCCGGTCATAAGCTGCCCTGACTACATACAGCTTAAGGGGGATTCTGGGAGATGTAGTTTAGAGACTTGCCCAAGACTGCACAAGCTGACTTTACTTTGCAAGAAGCATAGTGGGGAATTCGAAGTCTCAACCTTTGGTTCCACATCCAGATACCTAAACCACTGAGCTAGCCTGCCAAATAATCATCATATGCCATTACTTAATATTATTTTGGGATAGTTTTCTGAAGAGTTCATCCTAGGCAGTGAATCGCAATGTATTGTAATGCTTGAAAATAAAATTAAGTGTCTCGTGTGGCCACTAAATAAAGAGATAAAGATGGTTATGATGATGATGATGATGATGATGATGATGATGATTTTGCCTGAAAGAATAGAATGAACCTTTTTAAAAAGCACAGAGATTCCGTTGGCTGCATTCAGGATTTTAATATTTTTAGCACAGAGCAGATACAATAGTGTGACCTTTATGTAGAATGCATCATGCAGTGGTTTGTTAATTAATGGGGCAGTGCCTTTGGCATTGTAGCAGAGTTTTTAGACCTCAGCCTAACTGCTTTTCTATTGCACTCAGGAGATGTCTCTTAATTTTAATAGAAGACGGTATGCAATTTCAGTTTTGCTTTTTGTTTCGGTCCCAGTGAATGTTTACATGATTTAATTGCGGTGTAAAACAATGAGCTGTATTGAAACAAATAGAAGACTGGAGAGGAAGGGACCTTATAGTCACAGTCATTTCCCCCCCTGTAATTTATTTTCCAGTAATTGTTTGTGCTTTCAGCTGTGCAAACAATAGGCAGTTTTAAAATATAATAAACATAACTATATAAAACATGAAGAATTCTACAGTTTCATGATGTTTGAAAATATCCGAAGCTCAGAAACAATAATAGGTTGGTTGACAGCAGCCGGTATCAAGAAGGTCAACATTTATTTATTTATTTATTTACTGTCCCATCTAGTGACACCTACTACTCGGGGTGGTTTACAGAATAGACTGGTGAACCTTCACTCCCCCAACGGCCCACATGCAAACCCAAACAATATGGTGATGTAACCCAAACACCGCATTTACAGATGAACATTCACCACAGCCGGTAATCTGTTCTTGAAGATCAATTTATAAAGTCCTGTCTTTAATAATTTCCTAAAAGTGAGACAGGACAGAGCCTAGCATACCTCTCATAGCAGTTTATTCCACAGAGTAGGGTCCACTACTGAGAAGGTCCAATTTCTCATCATATTTTAAGCCTCTTAAATCAGTTTCCTGGACCCTTCATGCGAGGCAGGAGAGAAAGCTGAACACGTTCCATATGTGTTGCCTCCGATGCATTTTTGGTATCACCTAGCAGGACAAAGTTCCAAACAGAGTAGTCCTAGAACGAGCTGGAATTTTTAGCGTGTATACACTACTGAAACAGTGACGTCTACGTTGGCTTGGGCACGTCGTGAGAATGGCTGATGGTCGGATTCCAAAGGATCTCCTGTATGGAGAATTAGGACAGGGAAATTGCCCCAGAGGGAGATCACAGCTGCGATACAAGGACATCTGCAAGCGGGATCTGAAGGCCTTAGAAATGGACCTCAACAGATGGGAAACCCTAACATCTGAGCGTTCAGCCTGGAGGCATGCGATGCATACCCTCACCCAGCAGGCTGAGGTAAAGAGGCAGTCACGCAAGCAGCAAAATCAGGGAGCTAGACGGGGGACAGATTGTATTTGTCCTAAGTGTGGAAGGGATTGTCACTCTCGAATTGGCCTTCTCAGCCACACTAGACGCTGTTCCAAGTCCTCCATGCAGAGCACGATACCATAGTCTCTCGAGACTGAAGGATGCCTATGATGAAATCACTGTCCCCCCAATACTGAATCAAACCATTGGTCCACCTGGCCTAAGAATAAGAACAACGTGCTGATATTTAATAGATACATAGGTTTTTGTTAAGAATAAGAATAACGTGCCGATATTTAATAGAAACATAGGTTTTTGGTTAAAACATGTATCTCTTATATAATACCAGTCAATGTTTTATAATTTTTATTCACTGCCCCTGGCGTTTTTGAATAATGATAATGATATGGCATTAACATTCAGGGGTTTCTAGGTAGAGAATGTAGGGAAGTATTGTGCAGCGTGCCCAAGGCCACACAGGCTAGCTCTACCTGTAGGGGGCACAATTGTGGAATCAAATTCCCAACCTCTGGCTCCTCAGAGACCTAAAGCATGAAGCTATCCAGTCAGTTGCCAAGCACTGACAAAACTGATTGGGTGACTCCACAGTCATCTTTTTATTAATGGGACATTCTGGAAACTGAAAGTAGTGGCAAAGCACACACTGTTTTACTGAGTGCAACCCCTCCTTAATTCATAACAATACCCACATCATCATTAAACACCAGGTTTTGGAAGCACAATTCAGAAAGGGAATAACCACCATTGTTATTTGGCATATACCGTATTTTTCGCTCCATAAGACACACAGGCTTTCTACCCCCCTGTTTTGTGGGGGAAAAGTGCTTTTTATGGTGCGAAAAATACAGTAGTTCAGAGACAACCACTGCTGGGTTAAGACCTACTGAGGACTTAGGCTAATTTGACTTTATGAGGTCCCCTAACATTACTCTAAAACATGTACCATGTATAACTTGATATTTATTATTGAGGCAGAGTTATATTTGCAGTTATATTCTCATATTGGAAAACTTATCCTGCAGTTTAGCTTGCATGTAAATCTGACACTGAAGAAAGCAATCAGGTACAGTACTTTCATCCGTGCCCCCCCCCCCCCCGGCATTCTACAAGAATTTTCCTATGGATTCTTATTCTAGGTCATTGACTCAAGTATGGATAAGTCATTCCCCAGGACTGTGTTGCTTAAGCAGCGGTGACAAAGGACACTTGTCAGACAGTGTCCTTGGCTCATGTATAGTGAACCTCCATGCCCTGGCAACTTTGGCATACTGTTCAAGTCAGGTCAGAAGGGTGCATTTAAAATTCATTCCAGCTGTCTTCCAGTTCTTCTGAAACTGTCAGAGGGTTGGAGGTTTGTCCTTGTGCCTTCTGCCAAAACCATTTTGTCAAGCTGAGATCTAAAGGTCCTCCTTGGTGTTAAGAATGCTACCACGTCTAGGAAAGTACCTGGGGTAGAATGGGGGAGGGAGGTGTGGGTCATGAAATCATCCATGCGTCTTTACTCACAGTTTCATGTGGCAGATGGAACAGATGTGGGGGGGAATAGAGTGGAAACCAAAGGCTGCTTTTCTTTTAAAGCTTACATTCCTATAAAATGAGAGCAGAGTCTCTCTCTCTCTCTTTCTCTCTCTGTTGAATTGCCTCCAGCACTTTCCTTACATTATTCTCTCCTTCCTCTTCTTCTTTCTTTACCTCCTACAGCAAATTCTTTCCTGGTGTGAGCTCCCTTGTTAGTTAAGCTCCAAGCAATTGCCAATACTTAAAAAATGAGAAAAGTCCATGGTTCTTAGGTAAAATCTACTGGAGTTAAAAATTCCATATTTTTTTTTTGTTAAGGATGGAGCTGGAAACCTGGTTTGCTACTTCTGTGCTTTAGAGTTGCAGGAGATGTTCTTATTTCAGGGAAGAAACTACAGCTAGAAAGCTCACAAATGATGCTTTTTCCAGGCTCTAGCTGCCAAAATCTCCTAGCCAGCATGGCCAGTGACTCTTGGTGGGGTGATATTTGAACCTTTCTCCACTGAACGTGGTGGCACTGCGGGCTAAACCGCAGAAGCCTGTGCTGCAGGGTCAGAAGACCAAGCAGTCGTAAGATCGAATCCACGCGACGGAGTGAGCGCCCGTCGCTTGTCCCAGCTCCCGCCAACCTAGCGGTTCGAAAGCATGCAAATGCAAGTAGAGAAATAGGGACCACTTCGGTGGGAAGGTAACACCGTTCCGTGTCTAAGTCGCACTGGCCATGTGACCACGGAAGATTGTCTTCGGACAAAACGCTGGCTCTATAGCTTGGAAACGGGGATGAGCACCGCCCCCTAGAGTCGAACACGACTGGACAAAAATTGTTAAGGGGAACCTTTACCTTTACCTTTACCTTACCACTGAACAACTTCTAGTCTTTCCCCCAAGAAACCTATCACCACTTCCCAACATCTGGGGTTTCCAGAAGTGTGCCATATCAGATGGGAAGAGTGGAGAGAGTATAGGGATTCCTGTATTTATCGAATGTAGATATTTTAATGCGTTTTTAAAAGAACTTAAACAGTTTTTAATCTTTATTTATGTTTATTCTAATATAATTTTTGCACAGCGCTTTGAACCTGTTTTGTGTGCTTTTCATTGTTGTGACGTGCCTTAGGTCTCCTATGTGGAGAAAGGTGGCATACAAACAAAAAAACAAACAATGGAAGGGTCAAAACACACATCCTTGGGCTGTTCTGCAACCTGCTATTCCCTGAGATTTCAGGACCAAAGCCAACAACCAGAGGTGAACCCTGGTGACATTGTAGAGGGCAGGTCAAGCAGAAAGTAGGAGGGAGTCTGGACTATCTTCTGGGCCAGTTGATTATGGAAAAGGGCACAGGAGATGGATTCAAAGCGGATAAACTAATGGCTAATCAGGCAATGGAGCTAAGGGAGCTAAATGGGTCAAGGTGCCTGGCTGTGGAACTAGGTGTCAGGTTATGAGATTTTCATAATTTTAGGACTCCCAGTCCCAGAAGTCATCTCAAATCCCAAGCAGACTTTTGAAACTGGGAGAGGATAAACCAGAAGGTGGACAAGATGTCTTTCTACCTCCATATTGTGCTTCTCTCCATCTGTCTCAACTGGGAAGCAGAAGGAACCCAAGGCAGTTGCACCTTCTTCCTGGGAACTGCCCCATAGGACTATGACTAGGGTAGCTTTGCTACCTATTTGACTCTGTAGGGGGAGCTTTTTACTGAACTACACTCTTACAGACTAATTGACTAAGGAGATTTTTTAAGGTGGCGCTGCAGGTTAAACCGCAGAAGCCTCTGTGCTGGAAGATCTGTAGATCTTCAGCTGTAAGTTCGAATCCACGTGACAGAGTGAGCTCCCGTCGCTTGTCCCAGCTCCCGCCAACCTAGCGGTTCGAAAGCATGCAAATGCAAGTAGATAAATAGGGACCACCTCAATGGGAAGGCAACAGCGTTCCGTGTCTAAGTCGCACTGGCCATGTGACCACGGAAGATTGTCTTTGGACAAACGCTGGCTCTATGGCTTGGAAATGGGGATGAGCACCGCCCCCTAGAGTCGAACATGACTGGACAAAAATTGTCAAGGGGAACCTTTACCTTTACCTTTATTCTGTTTTACTTGTCTTTTTAATATTATGCTCGTTATGAATTTCAATATATTTGTTTAATGATTGTTAAATATTGTAACAATTTGTTATTTGGCTTTTAACTTGGTTTCTTTTAAATACAGTGAGCCACCTTGGATCCTGTAGGACAGTGTTTCCCAGTCTGAGGGTCGTGACCCCCAAGTGTTTTCTGGGGCATCGCGGGTTGCCTTATATGTGTTGTAGCCCTTGTTATATCTTCCTTGACTTTTTGGAGCGGGATATTAAAGTTAGCATGTATGTTTAGGTATGAAAAACAGGCCTTTTGGGGGTGAAAGAAGCCTCTACTTTCTGAGAATGGTCTTTATCCATTAAAAATGCCTTCTTATGAAAACATGGGGAAGGGCGCAGGCTAATTGACTCATATAAAAGATGGCCAAAAACTTGGAAAAGGTTGGGAACCATTGCTCCAGGAAAAAGATGGTATATAAATACTATATATAAATAAAAATGAATAAAAAGCAAGTATCCATCAGTTTAGAGACCACATCAGCTGTCCAGAAATATAGAAGATGCTTCTATATACTCAGAGAGTGGGTGTATAGCAGTATACAAGCTGGAGAGTGGAAAGAAAAATACATTTCTGAAATTCCCCAAGGCATTCTGACATGTACTACTTATGAGTTTATCAAGTACTGGCAAGGGGAGACAGTGGGAAGGAGAAGTGGGAAGAAAGTAGAAAACAGACACACTGTGTGAGTCTTTCAGGTAAGTCTATAGTGAAGGGTAATCACAAAACAATTTGTGTGTGTATCCATTTTGTGGGGAAGGGCAAGGAATAGAAAATAAAGGGCAGATGGGCATGGAAGCGCAAACCTTGTTCATACAAAACAGTGGCCGTTTTTTGCTACTGCCACAGCGGGAAATTCAGCAGCAGTGGCTTTGGAAATCCTCAGTACTTCGTATAACCTCACCACATATACTGGGGAAATATGTTTCAGAAAGAGGGTGGAACGTGTTTTGTGGAAGACTCAGGTGTGGATTGCAAGTTCCACTTGATATTGGTGAATATTAATCCATAGTCATCCCATTAAAGAATCCCCCCAGAGACCCCAGTGTAAGAATGGATCATTTTATTCTGTCCTTCTGCTTCCCACTCTTCAACCCATTTTCAGTCAATAAGAGAACCTGTTACACACCTGATAGATATACATATAATCTTTGGTGAAAGACTTTGTTAAAGGCTTTTTGGATTCCCCAGGTCGTCTGCTCTCTTCACTTTGACTCTTAGAACAACTGTGAAAGATGGATCAGCCAGGAGTTTCGAAAAAGCCATGCTGATTCTTCTCTCTTAGGAGTTTAATAATTCTAAATGCCATGGCTGGTCTTTGTTTCATCATCACATACCTCTTTTATGTTTCTTTCTAGTTACAGGGATGCTGAAAAGAACTTCCACAATATCTCCAACCGATGCTCCTACGATGACCACTCTGGCAGTGATGAAACTGAAGATGTCTCAGGAATTCTGCAGTGTACAGCAAATATACTTGGTACTGTGTATATTTGTGCATTTGTATTCTTCTTACCAGGAATTGTTCCCTTAGAGTGTGACTGTGCTGCACTCAAGTTTGAGTTGGGGTTGGCACTATCAACATTGAACTTTTTAGTGTTGACTACAGGACATAAAGTTAAGCACAGGGAAGCCTGGTCTTTTCTAATAGGCTTCTTTTTTTGTGGGCAAATAAAGGGGTGCTTTATTTGGTACCAGTTCAACTGTCGTCACATTTCTCGGTTTTCTGGCATGTATCTGTCTCAATTAAAGGAGCAGTTGTGGTCACCTCCTACAGTGATGGTGACATCTTCAGTGGGGCACAGTATTACAGCAGGATAATTCCCTTCAACTAAGAGCTTGCTCTTTCCCCTCCTCTGAACAATTTTTGTATTCTTTTATTATGCTTGTCAGATTTAGCACTGTATCAGATAAGTTCTATGTTACTTCCAAAAACTAAATAATAATAATAAAAAATAAGAAGATGTGGGGAAGAGGGTAGAATTAATAAGATGGGGGCATGTTCCTAGTGAAAAATTGAGCCAGGTGGACTCTTGAGTGGGATAATTAATTGTGTTAATGTAGACAGCTGGTGATTTCAGCAGTGGAAGCTACCAGAGACCAAGCTTTCAAACTTTGAAGCAGCTTCAAACATGGGTGTTCTTTTCCATGTGTTTGCACTGTGCATCACTCTTCTTGGTCTACTCAATGTCCATTTTACAGTTTCGAGCTCATAATGGGCATCAACAGTGTGTGGTGGCATCAAGGGTGTCACCACCCTTGATACCACCACACATTGTATCAGGGTGGACAAAGTACTGTTCTGGTGCTGTTTTTGAGCCCCACCGATCCTTAGTCATTCTGCGAAGAATGACGGGTAGAAAATGTGTGTTCCACCTCCAGGAGGCATCTAGGAACTTTTTTCCCCATTGGGGTATCAAGATCAGATTGATTCATTTCCCAGCTTGGTGCAATTCTCAAATGGAGTACAGTGGTGCCCCGCATAGCGAGGTTAATCCGTTCTGGATTAACCATCGCTATGGGGAAACATCGCTATACAGAACGGAAAAACCCAAAGCGATTTCTGTCCATAGAAAGCATCGGTATGCGATCACATTTTGGGGGGAAAATGTGGCCCACAACCCGAAAATCATGCATATTTTGCAGTCTATGAGAGAGAGATTGGAAATGTTGCTTTTTTGATTACTGTAGCCCGAGCTAACATAGCCACGGGCTAGGAAATTTTTGGGTTTACAGTCTGAGAACGTAACATCTCCAGACTTGGATGGAGATGCATTGTCTTGGGTGGAAAGTGTGGCCCACAACCCGATCATCATGCATATTCTGCAGTCTGTGACAGAGAGATTGGAAATGTTGCTTTTTTGATTACTGTAGCCCGAGCTAACATAGCCACGGGCTAGGAAATTTTTGGGTTTACAGTCTGAGAACGTAACATCTCCAGACTTGGATGGAGATGCATTGTCTTGGGTGGATCTATTAGTTTCTTTAATGCAGTTCTCCTCTTACATGTTAAAGTACAGAATAGTTTGGCTATACATTTAGTAAGCTTCGTGTATGTCCTAGAAAGCTGATTCAGCTCCCTGTCTTATATATGTTACACTTTAAGGATTCGATCCTATAGGTAGGGAATAAGACCCATTGAAAATAGCAAGGCTTACTTCTGAGCAGATGTGCGTAAGATATCTCTGTAAAGGTATTATAAGAATTATACTCCTTTTTCACTTGGCCCTTTCCCCCTCTCTCTCTGCCATCTCTGTCATTGTCTCTGCAGTGTTTGGAACATTTTAGAAGAAGAAGAGTGGTATTAATCAGCCGGTAAAACAACAAACTTGTGCCTTTGTTAGTAATACATTCATACTATTCATCATCATGTGCATGATTAACAATTCCTTAATCTTGAATTTCTGGTCCCACAATAGCTAGATTTACAAATGTATAATCCTGTCCTATATTTATAACTTTTTTGTTAGCATAAGCTTAAATCATACAGTTTATCATTTCAGTCCATTTTGTATAAAGACTGAATAAACTCTGAACCCCATAACTCTGAATTACAGGTTCTAACACATTTTAATGTTGACAGTTAAGAAATTGAAATGGTTAGAGATTCTGTATTTTGTTGTTGTTTAGTCGTTAAGTCATGTCCGATTCTTCATGACCCCATGGGCCAGAGCTCGCCAGGCCCTCCTGTCTTCCACTGCCTCCCGGAGTTGGGTCAAATTCATGTTGGTGGCTTCGATGACACTGCCCAACCATCTCGTCCTCTGTCATCCCTTCTCCTCTTGCTTTCACACTTTCCCCAACATCAGGGTCTTTTCCAGGGAGTCTTCTCTTCTCATCAGATGGCGAAAGTATTGGAGCCTCAGCTTCAGGATCTGTCCTTCCAGTGATTACTTTGGTTCAACCAGCAACTCAAATAGAGATTGCCACCAAAAAATCAGAAGAACTCTGAGACTAGGAAGGTCAGCATTGAAGGAATTAGAAAAGATTGGCAACTGTAAGGATGTGTCACTGGGGAGCAAGGCCAAGATCATTCACATTATTGTATTTATGGTCATCTTGTATGGTTGTGAAAGACAGATAGTTAAGAAAGATGACAGAAAACAAAATGTTTGAAATATGGTTCTCGAGGAGAGCTTTGAGGATACCCTGGACTACCAGAAAGCTGAATAAGTGGGTCCTATAGCAAATCAAGCCCAAACTATCTCTGGAGGCAAAAATGTTGAAATTGAGGCTGTCCTACTTTGGGCACATCATGAGAAGACAGGATTCCCTGGACAAGACAATAATGGTGGGAAAGGTAGAAAGTATCAGGAAAAGACGAAGAGCAAATACAGTGGTGCCCCACAAGACGGGCGCTCCATTTAACGACGAAACCGTTTGACCTCGATGTTTTTGTGATCGCAAAAGTGATTGCAAAACGATGTTCCCTATGGGGGAATTTCGCTTCGGGAACTGATTCTCGCAAACCGATGATTTTTTAACAGCGGTTTCAAAATGGCCTCTGGGTAAACAAAATGGCCACCCGATGTTTTCTGGGACGGATTCCTCGCTGCACAGGCAGCGAAAATGGCTGCGCTATGGGGGATCTTCTCTGGACGGTGACTTTCCAGCCCATAGGAACGCATTAACTGGGTTTTAATGTGTTTCTATGGGCTTTTTAAAATCGCTTTATGACGTTTTCGTTGTACAGCGATTTTGCTGGAATGAATTAACATCGTAATGCGAGGCACCACTATATGAGATGAATTAATGCCCTAAAGGAAGCCACAGGTTTGACTCTACAAGAGCTGAGCAGGGCTGTTCAGGACAGGACATTTTGGAGATGGCTCATTCATAGGGTTGCTAAGAGTCATAAGCAGCTTCACAGTACACAACAACAACAATGCTGCATACATTTAGTCACCAAGCTCCAGTTTATTATTCTGATCCACAAACACATTTAGCCATCCAGAGTCAGACGCAGCTTGACAGTACACAACAACAACAACAGTACTACATACATTTTAGTCACCAAGCTCCAGTTTATAATTCTGATCCACAAACACATTTAGCCATCCCACTTACAATGGCAATCTAATAATATCCTGTTCCTAATAATGCCTCCTTCAGGTGAAGTAGTTGTAAGATCTAGCAGTTATATACATTTTAATCAAATGTTCCGATACTTGGTAGAACTATCCCTTCCAGATAATACCCCTGTTTCTTCTTTTGTTGCATTCTTTGCATTTCCTAAACACTGAGAGGAACTACGCTACCGTTGTAAACAGTCCTATAAGGCAGTCACTTCACCTGAAGAAGGCATTATTCTTAAAATATCATTCTTTATTAAAAGATAATTTTTAAACACAAGTGCATTTAACCACTCCACTCACAGTGGGTCTCTTGACAATATCCTGTTTCTAATAATGCCTTAAGAATGATCCAGCTGGTGAAACAGTTTTATTTGGAGGAAGTTATTTGGACAAGATAATGCCTCTGTTTCTTCTGTTGTTGCATTCTCTGTATATCCGAAACGCTGAGGAGAATGAGACTCTTCCAAATAAAGGTGGTTTGCTAGCTGGACCATTCTTAAAAACGAGTTCTTGTGAAACCAGAATGGCAAGATTAAAGAATTATTGCTTTGCTTCATAAATATAATGTTGAATAGTATAAATGTATCACCAAGAGAAGTGCAAGTTCGAGAATGAGACCAAATAAAGGTGGTTTGCTAGCTGGACCATTCTTAAAAACGAGTTCTTGTGAAACCAGAATGGCAAGATTAAAGAATTATTGCTTTGCTTCATAAATATAATGTTGAATAGTATAAATGTATCACCAAGAGAAGTGCAAGTTCGTTCTTTTACAACAGTGTTTATCTTAAGTATATTTTTCGTGAGTGGTTTTCTCTGCAGTGATCATGTCTCTCTCGTCTCTTCTTCCTTCTCTTGTGGTGCGATAGTGATGCAGTGATAAATTGTGAAGTGCAAGTTCTCACATGTACAGTTCCCTCAGTCACAACCCCAACACCCTTAACAAGATGTTGGAGACACATCCAAGTCTGTGCACAAGAACAGATACAACTAGCTTAAGGGATTTTTGCCATTTCTTTTCCATGTTTTAGTAGGAAACATCTTCCCCATGCAGGGACTGCATAGAGGAACTATGGGGATTGTAGCAAGCTCAAAAAGAAGTACGACGAGGGCAGTAAGTTATGTCCTTGTCCCTTGTAATCTGATAGTCCTAAAACTTGTCTTCTAAAGTGTCTGGAGACCGTGTCCCATGGGGAACAGTTGAGAGAGTCAGAAATCTTTATCCTAGAGAAGAGATGTTTGAGATGTAATATATGAGCTATTTTCAGATATCTGAAATTCGTTCGTTCGTTTAGTCGTTTAGTCGTGTCCGACTCTTTGTGACCCCATGGACCAGAGCACGCCAGGCCCTCCTATCTGAAATACTGTCCTGTAGAAGATGGAGCAAGCTTGTTTTATTATTCCAGTG